TTTAACAGTATAATTCTGTTATTATAGAATACAATATGAAATCTGTCACCCATTGACTTTTGTCCTCTACAAAGTACACAGTCAATCTAAAGATGGAAGGTGTGCTACCTACCGCTTACTGCTTGCCCTTTCTCCAAGCATTTGGCAAACACTGCTACTTGATCAGTATAATTTTCTCTCTAAACCAAAATGCACCCAGTAAATCTTAATGAGCTCCAGCAAACCACTACCAATCGATTACAGTTGACATACATAAATTGAAATCTCTTGTTATTCTTAGTCTAATTCTTTTTACACATGTTCTTTTTAAACATAGTTACCAAATCTTTGTTAAATATCCTCTTTAATAGGCTTAAAATCCCATTTTCCTTCAATGGTTTCACATGTAACAGGATTTTCATCATCTCACCATTCTGGCATTCTTTACTGGATAACCTTTTAGAATGCTTATCTCATCTGAAGTATGATCTGATGCAGCTCGAAAGATTTTTGTTTTAAGATTTTATTTATTTACTTTTAGAAAGGAAGGGAGGGAGAAAGAGAAGGAGAGAAACTTCAGTTCGTGGTTGTCTCTTGCTCACCCCCAGCTGGGAAGCTGGCCCACAACCCAGGCATGTGCCCCGACTAGGAATCGAACCAGTGACCCTTTGGTTTGCAGGCTGGCACTCAGTCCCCTGAGCCACACTGGCCAGGGCAAGATTTTTTTTTTTTTTTTAAACTTCTCTTTGGCAAACCTTTGTCTTCCTAACCTTGGGATACTGCTTATAATTTGGTTGTTATACCTTTGTTTTATTACTTATAAACTCTTTCCTGTGATGGGTTAGTAACTATTTTTATTAGCTTCTGTAGTATATGGTACTTAATTTTATCAGAGCAATTATCACAAGTAATCCATATGATGTCAACTCCCCTATTAAAAGTCCCTCAATTGTCTTCCAATATAGCCTATAAAGATCCTGGCAATCTGGCACCTACCTACATTTGTTATTTCACATCACACTGATCTGTCCTACTATTTTTATTCTTACAACAAACGCATCAAGTTCTCTACTATCTTGCACAGTGGGGAGGGGTGGTGGTGGTGATGTTTTGTATCCTCTACTGGGAACACCCTCTGTGGATCTTTGCAGGTTTGGCAACTTTTTACTCACCAGATCTTAGGTTAACACAGCCTTCTCAAAAAGGCTTTCCCTAATTACTCTATTTAAAGTAGCCCCCCAATTTACTTACACCACCCCATTTACTTCCTTCACTGTAGTTGTAGATTTTTTAAAAAGCCTGTTTACTACTCATCTTCATTCATTATAATGTAAGGTTCATAAATATAGGAAATTGAACTATCACTACTTTAATTATCACCAGCATCTAGAATGATGCTTGGCACAGAGCGGAAAATCAGTGATTATTAAGCTTACAAGTTCCATTATAGCAGTAAGTAAATGTTATCTCTGTAAACTGAATCTAGTACATATAAAATGTTCAATAACTATTTGTGAAATAATGGAGTGATGTTACCCACTTGGCATTCACTATGACCTCTAAAGATGACTTCCAAATCCACTTATCCAGCCCTGACATCTAGTTCCACACCTTTAGGTATACAGAACCTGTATACCTATATATCTATAGAACTAGCTATATATCCCCCTCCAGTATTGATCTTTTCTAACTTTTGTGGCATCATTTTCTTTGAAAATTATAAATTCCTTACTCTGTACTCATAACCACTTAGTTACTAAGTCATACTAATTTTTCCTTCATTTCTTACTGTATCTTTTTATTCCTATTGCCATATTTTACTTTAAGCTCTCATCATTTTATAGTTGTAGCACTAGAGTAGCTTCGTGATTTATATGCCTTTAGTCTCTCCTCCTTCAAATTCATTCTTCATACAAATCTGATGATCAATTTTTCTGTTATGTTTCCCATCCCCATACAAATTAGTATTCAAAATCCTCAATACCATTTTAACTGAAATCACTAAAGGAAAGGTATATTTGGGAAATTAGTAGTAGGCTGTTTTCTTTTCAATTTTGAGAGTATATTTATTAAAGCTATGGACAGTGAAACAAGAAAGGGCCTAGGCTAGAAGAAGCAACAGGAGAGAGCCTAGACGGGCAACTTCAGCTCTCTAGAAATGTGACAGGAAAGAAATGAGTCTGAGGGCGGCTGCTTTGGCTCATTGGGAAGTCAGAGAAAAGGAGGCCTGGGAGACAGGTTCAGGGGGTTAGCCCACGATGAGCTGTCATTGCCTATTTCTCCCCTGGCTGCGAGTATTGTGGGGTCCCTTAGAGTTTAAGAGATGCGTGCCTGTGAGGGAAAAGAGGGATAAAGAAAAGGCATGGGCATGCTCCCAGGAGGGAGAGCATGCTGAGATGGTAGATTTTTAAAAAATTTTTAATTGTGCCCTGGCTGGCATAGCTCAGTGGATTGAGCAGGGGCTGAGAACCAAAGTGTCGCAGGTTCGATTCCCAGTCAGGGAACATGCCTGGGTTGCAGGCCATGACCCCCAGCAACCACACATTGATGTTTCTCTGTCTCTCTCTCCCTCCCTCTATTCTCTCTCTAAAAATAAATAAATAAAATCTTTAAAAAAATTTAATTGTTGTTCAAGTACAGTTTTCTGTCCTTCACCCCCACCCCAGCCTACCCCCCAAGTCCTCACCACCTCCCTCCGATTTCCACTCCCCCCACCCGTTACTGTCTATGTGTCCTTTATATTAGTTCCTTCAAACACTTCCCTCACTTCCCCTGAAATTCCTTCCCCTCTCCCCTCTGGGAGATGGTAGATTCTTATACACATACACAGTTTCAGATGTAATGGTAAAAAGTCTGTAACTAATCAGATATATACTGAAAAGCCACTAAAGTGTAAGTTCCTTGAGGGAACCTTAAGAGACCTTGTTTATATTGCTTGCTGCTCATCTACCACCTGAAAGTCCTTGGCATACAGTAGGTATAAATGAGTATGTGTTGATTAAGTAAATAATTTTATAATAATTTTTTATAAAAACAAATGAATGATCCCAAGCCAGAGAATGAATGCTAAGATGAAAGTAGTATTTTCTGAAAGATAATGTGGTTCTCAGACACATGGAGATTAGTTAGTAAATTAGTAAAAATGGCCAACATTAATTGTGTCCTTACATTAGTGACCTCTTACCACTCTTCTAAAATTTTTACATTGACTTAATCATTATACACCTCAACGCTGTAGTTACTACTAAAGATAAGGAAACTGGCGTACATAAAAGTTTAAGTATTTTGCTCAAGTACACAAACACTGTAGTGGCAGACACAGTACTGAAACCAAGCAATGATGAGGGCCTGACTAGGACGCTGTCCGTGAGGATAAAAAAGATAAATGGAAAAGTAAAGGCTACAGCAGTAACTGCCACCTCATATAATCATTAAGCATTGTAAATCTGCTTTCATTAATACATATAATTTTTAAAATGACATATGTATCATCAATCTGAATACTAAATGATAAAAAAGCTTGAAGTCTTTTATTTCTAGATAAAATTAAATTAATTTTTAATATTTTCTACTCATACTCCAATGGATATATCAGAATATGAATAATAAAGTTATTTATCATCATAAATTTACATTTACTGTGGACTGATTAACCACTATGGCTACAGATTGCATTGTAGCCATTCATATCACTTACAAAAGCCATTGAAACACATGGAGGGCTGGCTGGATAAATAAGCATAACAGCTCATTTCAAATCCACCTTTGATAATAAAACCTACAAATGGTAAATTAATGATTGGAGAGTACATCATTAAAATAAATTTTAATATTAGATCTTACCTGTTTGCCAATCTTTCAAGGTTAACACAAACTACATATTTTCAAATCACTGCACAAATGAAAGCTACAGCAGCAATCCTGATATTCACCTCTATCTTAAGGTAGATTGATTTAGGTATAACTTAACAGATGAGAAATGTCAAAAGTACTAGGTTCTTCTATTCTGTTAAAAATAAAACTTCTCAAAGTCTTATGAGACATAAATTTTACATTCAAAATGTCTATAATTAAAATTCAAGTAAAAAGTTTTCCATCTTACCCTGTCTAGTTCCAGTGTAAACTTCTGGTCCCATGACTGATTGGAAATGGGTTTCCAATAAGTTTGACCGACCACAGTATTATCTAGCTTCAAAACTGCGCAGACATCATCTGTAATTACAATTTATAAACTTGCTTAAATATTTTAAAACCTTTATAATAGAAGTACCACTGTTTAATGGAAACACAAGTCCTCCAATCCTTTAAAAATAAGGTTTTTCTTACTCAATACTAAAGCTTTTCATTCTTTTATTTTATTTATTTTTAGAGAGGGGTAGGGAGGGAGAAAGACAGGGAGAGAACCATTAATGTGTGGTTGCCTCTCGTGTGCCCCCCTACTGGGGATGTGGCCTGCAACCCAGGCATGTGCCCTGACTGGGAATCCAACTGGTGACCCAACTGGTGACCTTTTGGTTCGCAGGCCAGCACTCAATCCACCGAGTTACATTAACCAGGGCATGAAGCTTTTCAAACTTAAATAGCTAGTTTTATGCATACATATACTACCACTAGACACCCCCAGTTTTATCCTCTTTGACAAAAAAAAAATATCAAGGGCTACCTATTTTATTTATATTAGAATGTACCTGGAAGGGCTAGTAGGTAACAGTGACTGTTTGCCACAATGTGTGTGTATATGTATGTTTGCAGAGTTCAACCTGGAACAATGTGGAGGTTAGAGGTGTTCAACCCTCGTGTGGTCAAAAATCTGCATATACCTTTCCCCCAAAACTTAACTACTAATAGCCCACTGTTGAACAGAAGCCTTGCTGATAACAAACAGTCAAGCAACACATATTTTGTATACTAAATGCATTATGTACTGTATTCTTACAATAAAGTCAATTAGAAAAAATATTAAAACATCGTAAGAGAAAGTACATTTATAGCACTGTACATATTCATTGAAAAGAATTTGCATTCCTTCTTGGCCTTTGGCTAAGATCAAGTGTGACTATCTATTCTTATCAGTTTAAGACCTGATAAGGACATATCAGGTGTTATATTAAATGAATTTTTGGAACAGGGAGATGGAGCAGGAGCTTGCTCTGTCCACGCCACATATTGTCCTGGTATTGCAGGACCTCTGGTAATGGTACATGAAAAAAACCCCACAACTATCCAGTTTCTCTCTCCTTATATTTGCTATTTATAGAATCTGTTACCTCAGACATTTTTTATTTTCAGATTTTTCCTAAGATCCCTACCTACAGAAAAGCAAAGGCACGCACCTTTGTATTGTATACTAGGTTGAAATGTCAGGTACCTTTTTTCCTAATTATACATTTGTATCATAGTTTATAATTATACTTAGAACATCTCCAAAGTGCTTCATCAACCTTTCATTACAGGGTCTAGCCCAAATAATGTCCCTTTTTCATTACAAAATCTTTTATTACAAAATAGTATGTAATTCTGTAACAAAACAACATCACACTCAAGCACAGCATGTGACATTTTAGGTGAAACATTCAAATTAAAACTATAAATTATTACAACCACATTACCACCCTACTAACTGCACTTAGGCAGATATTACTTCTGCCTTGTATTTTACTCTTACCACCTTCACCTACGCCCCCATTTCAGCATGCTACTGGGGTAGTGGGCTACTATCCTAGTAAACACGTCTGCTCCAGAGGTTAGTTATCAAAAGTTCAATATTAGTTTACAAGTACCTCTATATCACTAAAAAATTAAGATGTGACGAGTCCCACAGCCTCTATACACTTTTAGTTTGGCATAAAGAGTGATGCTCAATATTTCATTCTGCCAAAAGAATGTTATATGTCATTCCATTTTCTAATATATTTTCAACAAAGTAAATGCTGTTGCCTTTTTCATTTTCCTGTCACTATAGCTTTTAATATTTTAAAATTAAATTATGAAAATCATAATTTTAAAGGTTTTTTTTTTGGGTTCAGCTTTGACTCTCCCCATTCTACTCCATTCCCAATGCTAAGTCCTCTCTATAGGCCCTTTAATTTGTTATATGATTAAAAAAAAATCTGGTTACTGAACTGGACAAGTCATCGGTTTTTAGGAGATTTCGACTACTTCCACTTTTACTTTTGCTCGTTCTGCTCATGAAAGATGATCTGGTTTCACTTGGACTCCAACCAGGCAGTGCAACCGATGCTGCTTTTGATCGTCCAGGGACATTCTCTAGGATATCTTGACAACCCATAAGACGAACTTCCAAAGTACCTGTTAGCATTAAAAAAAAGTCAAATAGAACATCAATTTTTAACATATAAAACTATATCTTTGTTACCTATTTAGAAATGGGGCTCAGGGAGATCATCTAAAACAGCAAAATCTCTTCTCCCAGAGGATCTGCGAGGTAACTAACATCTTTCTTATTTTAATTAGAGAAACACATTCAAAAATCTTAAGTCAAATGTAAGAAATTTTATGGAAAGAACAGCACCTCCCAAATAGTGTCTATAGGGCATAAAACAAAGCAAGTTGCATAAACTTCTATATATATGAATACTCATTTCTATAATTACATGGAAGAATGACAGAATTACGAGGATAGAACATGTGGGAGGGGAAACATAAATCAAAATAATATGCCTATTAAAATAAACATATAAAAATTAGAAATCTGACTATGTAACAGCTATTATTCCATAAACACATAAAAATTAGAAATCTGACTATGTGAATAACAGCTGTTACTCCACGTAGATAACACAGAAAAGGACTTTACAGGTTTCTTTAGAATAAATGGTATTGTTTTGTCTGAAGATGCAATATAACATTATCTTTCCATACTAACAGTTTAGTAAACAGTTGTAATTATCTGCATACAAAATGATTGCTATTTCCTTCAGCAAATAAATACTAATGGTGTTCAAAATGAAAATGAAGAACTGTGAGTTAGGGTACCTGGAAATATGGCTTTGTCATCATTTGGCCTAGACACAGTGTACTAGATTTAAAAATAGTTGCTTTAGTGTTAGGATTTAGTGTATGTATTTGAAAAAACAGTAAGTATCAAAGACATTGGACATCAGGAAATGAAGAACAGCGATCCCCAAGAGATACGAAACAAATGAGATGAGCCCTAAGTTTGATAGAGTTTACTGCCTTGAGAATATCCAGGACACAGTACAAAGAGGGAGGATCTCAGGTGGAGCCAAGTAGACTACCTGAGTTAAGGAGACAGAACTAAGAATGAAATGACCAAGGCACCTAGAATTCATAGGCAGAGTGAAGAAGACAGCTGACCAGAGACAGAACTCCTTGGATTGGTTCCTCTGATCAAGTACTCAGTCTTGACCCAGTAGTAAAGATTAATTACCCATAGGCTAAAAATGTTCTGGTCCCATGTAACAAATCTTAAAAGCAATCCTCAAAAGATCAAACTGTTTCCAAGTAACAAAACTGTAACATAACTGTTTCCAAGAACAAAGCTCAAGAATATTTATAGAAATACATAAATATCCAGTAGTGAACAAGCTAAAATTCAAAATGTCAGACATTACCAGCTGGATTTGTTTTCTACTGCTGCATTTTCAATTACCACAAACTTAGTAGTTTGAAACAATACCCATTTACCATCTCACAGTTCTGCAGGTCAGAGCCCGGGTGGGCTGGTCTGCAATCTCTGATCTGATCTCTCAAGGCTGAAATCATCATGTTTGCCAGGCAAGGCTCTTATCTGGAAGCTCTGAAGAAAAACATGCTTCCAAGCTCATTCAGGTTGTTGGCAGAATCCAATTTCTTACAGCCATTGGACTGGGAATGCTATTTTCTTGCTGGTTAAGAGCTAGGAAATATTTTCAAGTTCTAGTGGCCCCCTCCATCCCAGCTCTCTCGGATTTCTCCTTTGCCATGAGTCTCTGAAAATCCTCTGCTTTTAAGGGGCTCAGGTGATTGTATTAGCCCCATGAAGGTAATTGCCCTTTACATTAACTCAAAGTCAAGGAATTAACAGTAATCTTAACCACACATGTGAAACTCCCTTTACCATATATTATCACAGAAGTGATGTCCATCATATTCACAGGGTAGGTGTTCCACTAGTCATTCTTAAAATTTTGCCTATCACACCAGGCAAGCAAATAAACAGAAAACTAGAAACCATAATAAAAAAAAATCAAATGAAAAACCAATCCAAAAATGACATGTTAGGAAGCAGATAAGAACATTCACACGGTTATTATAACTATATTCCATCTATTCAAAAGTCGAATAGAGACATATAAAATATCAAAAAAGACCCAAAACAAATTTCTAGAGATGAAAACCACAATGTCTGAGATTTAAAGAAAAAAGTACTGATGGGATTAGTTATCAGATTTTACACTGAAAAAGATAAGGCTAATGAACTTGAAGCTATCACAATAAAAATGTAAAGACTTGGGGAAAAAACAGTAACAATGCATATGTGAACTATGAGTTTAACTTCAAGTGGCCTAATATTTGTATTATTGAAGTGCCTGATGAAGAGCAAAAGAGAAGAGGGGACAGAAAATATATCTAAAAAAATAATGGGTGAAAATTTTCTAAATTTTTGAAAACTATAAACTCAAGAAGTAGCCAAGAAGTTCAATAAAGCCCTAACCAGCATGGCTCAGTTGGTTGAGCGTTGTCCTGCAAAGCGAAAAGCCATTGGTTAGATTCCTGGTCAGGGCATATGCCTGGATTGCAGGCCCAGTCCTGGTTAGGATGCATGGAGAGAGGCAACTGATCGATGTTTCTCTCACACATCAGTATTTCTCTCCCTCTCTTTCTCTGCCCTCTCCCTTCTCCTCTCTCTAAAAATAAATAAAATCTTTTTAAAAAAGTTCAATAAACAAGAGAAAAAAAGTAAGTAACACTAATGTTCAGAATAATCAAATTTCTTAAAACAAGTTATAAAGAGAATATTATAAGCAGAGAAAAAGGCATGTTATATACAAAGATTAAGATGCTAGCAGATCATTCACTTGAAACAATGAAAACAGAGGAGCAACATCTTTAAAGTACTGCAGAAAAAAATAAACTGTGATATTAGAATTTTAAAGCCACAGAAAATATCTTTTAAAAAATTAAGACTTTCAGATATAGAATGAGTAAGGAATCCATTATCAGAAGACTACCATATGATCCATCCATAGTATTCTTAGGTCTTTACCCAAGTGAGCAGAAACCTGTTTACACAAACACTGTACATGGATGTTAATAACAACTATATTTTAAAAAGTACAAAAGGAAAACAACCCAAACATCAATTGCAGGTAAATGGATAAATGAAGTATAGTATATCCACACAAGAGAATACTTACAATAAATAGAAACTTAACACACACAACACAGATGAAAATCAAAATTAGAATGTAAAACAGACAAACTACTCCCCAAGCCAACAGTATATACTGTGATTCCTTTGATATAAAATTCTGCAAAATGCAAACTAATATCTAGTGAGAGAAAAGAGATCAGTGATTGCCTGGGGGCAGTTGTGGAGAAGGGAAGAGGGATTACTTACATAGAAGCACATGAGAACACTTCTGGGGATGACAGATATACCATATTTTACCATGTATAACGCACACTCACATTTTTGGTCCATACTTTCAGGAAGAAAAGTCTTTTGTTTTATTTTTTAATTCAATTATTTATTTATATTTAGATACTTGTTTTTGGTATTATAAAGGAATTTTAATTTTACCACTTATTTTTTAACATATTAAGGTACAAGAAATTTTATGTAATAATTTCAAAACACAAGAATAGATAAAAGGTATTTCAGGTACTATACTCATGTATAATGCACATTCTTATTTTTCCCTCAAAAATTTGGGCAAAAAAAGTGCACATTATACATGGCAGGATATGGTCATAATTATCTTTGTTGTGGTGATGGCTTCACAACTTTAAATAAGACAAAATTTCTCACATTTATAGCTTTAACTATGTGTAGTTTATTATATGTCAATTATAGCTGAATAAAACTGCTCTAATAACTGGATGTTGATGACTGTGGCACAATTATATTTATTTACTAAAAAGCAGAAAATTGTATACTTAAAATGGGTGAATTCTATGGTAGTAAATTATGTCTCCATAAAGCTGCTAAAAGTGGGGTGGGGGAAGCCTCACTCTTATGTTTG